TTCCTTCCTTCCTTCCTTCCTTCCTTCCTTCCTTCCTTCCTTCCTTCTTTCCTTCCTTCCTTCCCCTCTCTCCTCTCTCTCTCTCTTTCTCTCTCTCTCTCTCTCTCCCTCTCTGGCCAATAAACTCATCCAATAATTGATGCTTCTCCAAACAAGCCTTGATTTGTTGGAGGTTTTTATGCCTGACCTATGTCTTCACTGCTGGTTTGGTCTTCTCCGATATCACTGTATTGGGTTGAAATCACACTATTTCTATCAGCTCTCGAATTATGTGATATTTGAGGAGGAAGAATCTTTTACTTTTATTGTACATTTGCTCTTTTCACTGTTCACATCTTGAGTGGTCTACAGATTTGTTGTGTTTACATAATTTTTGTAAAAAAAAAAAATCTAGAGAGTTTTTAATAGAGGTTTTGATTCTTACCCACCCTCGTATAATTGTTCTTGTCTTTGTAGAAACGAAAACTTCTGAATGAACTTGGTGAGAGCTGCCTTCCATATTTGACACCAAAAGATGCTGGCTTCCATCAACTGGTAATAATATTCAAAAGATCAACGTAATATATTTTGAGACTTGGGAGTAAGGGACAGGAACCTTTGCAGGAAGCAACATCATTCACTCTGTTCGGATTAAACCTTGAAGCTCTTTGTGGACTTTGTACTTCGCTTGTTTTTTTTGCAGTTCATTTGGCACTTTAGTTGTTGGCAGCAATTCAAAGGAGAGAAAGGTGGGTGCTTATCTTGAGGGACTGTTTGGGACTCATTACGGGCTGGGAATGAAAATAATTCCCAGCATTGAAATAAAACAAGAGTTGTTTGGACTAATTAATTGCATTTGGTTGTCTTTTCTTGATCTTGAGTACTTCAGCTCGCTATTTAGCGAGAGAACAAGAGGAAACCTCCAAACTCAAAACTGATTAAACAAATATCCCCAAGCAGATTAAAGGAGAACAATGAAGAGTGATTTGGTTTTTACACATGGTTTCATATAAGGCCAAATTGGAGCCTTTGTTTCATTTTCCCTTTATTTGCAAAGTAAATAAACTCAGGTGGTTGCCCCCATTTGAAGTTAGTGGTTTCCGCCTTACTTGCTGTCTCCTCTGCAAATGCAGTAGCTTGTATATGGGTACGTCTCAATTATGAAGGTGAGTTTGAAGAGAAAGGGACGTGATTCAAGAAGAGTTTGACTTGATCTGAATAAACGTCTCTGTCCTAGTAAGATAAGAAACCTAAGAAGGCCAGAGAAGAATATGAGTAGAAATAAATCCATACCGGTAGAAACAAGGAGGGGTTATTGAAGGAATGGGAATGTTTGCAAGCTTTTTCTTCAGCCGTTTGGATAAATGGGAAACACATGGGAAAACGTGGGTAAGTTCTATCCAATTAAGTAGGAACATACTGAATTGAAAGACATAAAAATGAACCTTTTTCTCAGTTTGAACAGCTATGGCAGGAGTTCCTACATTATAGCCATGTCAACTTTTCTTATGTTGACATGTGGTCGAAAGATGCATTTTTAATGGCCTCCCCCTTTCCCTCCCCCACTGGTTCAGGAAGAAATGAGCCGTTCTTTTGCCCTTTTCTTTCTCAAGATTGATGGAAGAGGGTTATTCTTTTTTACAGCAGTTGAAAATTTATCACTTAACATATGTTGAGAAAAGTTATGTAATTCAGATTTAGACATTATGTTTTACCCACAAAACATCTCAGGTCTATTGAGATAGGATTAAAAAGACTCCAGGCTGAAATTATGGAGAATTTTCACCCATTTGGCATTCTTAAAAATGTTAAGTTGGTTGAGTATTTGGGGGGAATTATTCCCTTAAGTTATCTGGAAGGTATCAAGTTAGAAGTGTCAGGTAGTATGATTCTGGTGGTATTAATATTTATAGGTTACCTTATAATGTGCTCTTTAAATTCTCTTCTCTTTATACTCTTTATATATTCTTTGTAATATATTTTTTAAATTAACTTTTATTGGATTTTAATTTTGACAATAACAAGATAAGGGAAGTGCTGGAAAGTCTATGGGGAGAATTATTTGAGAAACCATTGCTGTGCTCACGCAACACAAAACCAGAGCATGTTAAGGTTTTGCATGACAGGTGAATCCCAGAAGTTATTGGTTATTCTTTGGTTAAGCCAAGGGTCTTCAAACTTGGCGAGTTTAAGACTTGTGGACTTCAACTCTCAGAATTCCTGAGCTAACATGACCGGAGGAGGAATTCTGGGAGTGGAAGTCCACAAGTCTTAAAGCTGTCAAGTTTGAAGACCCTTCTGTTAAGCCAATGTGTGAATCAGTTCTAAAACTTTTCTCTGAGTGAAAAAAAACAAGCAAAGAGGCCGGCATTTCCAGTGATGAAATAATAAGTTTGTACAGCGGTTAAAGATGCTGAGCTTGTCAGCTGCAAACCTGGCAGCTCGAGTTCAAGACCCGAGTGCCACGTGATGGAATGAGTTCCCATTTACTTGCTCCAGCTCCTGCCCATCTAGCAGTTCGAAAGCAGGCAAACGCAAGTAGATTTTGTTCTGACTAAAACTTCCTGAGACTGTAATTAATTAGTCCAAACAACTCTTGTTTTATTTCAATGCTGGGAATTATTTTCATTCCCAGCCCGTAATGAGTCCCAAACAGTCCCTCGAGATAAGCACCCACCTTTCTCTCCTTTGAATTGCTGCCAATAACTAAAGTGCCAAATGAACTGCAAAAAAACCAAGCGAAGTACAAAGTCCACAAAGAGCTTCAAGGTTTAATCCGAACAGAGTGAATGATGTTGCTTCCTGCAAAGGTTCCTGTCCCTTTGCACTTCCTTTATCCCTTATGGGAGGGGCAATCACCTCCCAGCCTTACTCCCAAGTCGCCCCTTTTGTTTCAGCTGCTCTCGCCATCTAGCAGCTCTGTGCACACACACACTGGGAACAGGCTCCCCTGGGTCCTCTGCCTCGCTGCTGCCAGATTCTGGAGGCTCTGGAGTCAGCACCCCACTCCCAATGGTCCTGATCTCATCTTTGCATCAGATGCAGGGCCCTCGTCCAAGTCCTCTCCAGACTCCTGGCCTGGTCCCCGTTCTTCCCCACTGTCCAATTCCGCTGCCGTCTGCACAGGCTGCTGGTGAATCACCACAGATATATAAGTACCAGTTTGGTGGGAAGCATTCTGTGCACCATCATGGAAAATGTCTTCAGACAAAGCTGGCTCCCTTGCTGAAAAATGGAGCCAGAGGAAATTGAAATGAGCACTACCCACCTCCCCAGAGTCAGACACAACTGGACACAGAAACCTTTTACCTTTTACAGGAATGGCTAAAAGTGCTTAGTATAGCATCCAAACGAGACGTTAAAACATGGAAGAATATAATATCAATAAAGCTTTTTTTCTTTCTACGCCCTTGTAATCCCTTGATTTCTGGTGGAGTCAGGGTGACTGAACAGAGCTCAGCGTTTTCTGGCCCGATGCCCTTCCTGACGCCTACATGGAGGTCACAGCAGATATTTTCTCTTTGTGAGCTGATAGAGAAACCTCTGTCTCTGCACTCTCTGCCTTCCAAGCGGGAGGCGAATGTCTTCACTCTTAAGTCACTACGCCGCTCAATACCAATAAAACGTATAACAACATAATATCATGGAATGGTATTTCCCAAGCTGGCCTCCGCTCCATTTATGTTACGTTGGAGGATGCCAAATGAAAGACTTAAAAAAACAAGACTTTTTCTTAGCTTGAAGAGCTACGGGCAGCAGCAGTAGAAGTAATGAAAAGAAGTAGATCTTTTTAGGACTTGGTCTCCATGCAGGTAGAGGTCATCAAATCGGGAAAGCTGCCATTTTAGAAATGCCTTCAATTTCTCGATCCAAATGTTATGACCTCCCCGTAGAGAACAGGGACTCCACCCTGGTTTGGCCCAAGAGGGCTTGGCAAGAGTTTGTGGCTGCTGTTGTCCCCTGAGTGACAAGCTCATTTTGACTAAAACAAAAACAGAGAGAGGCTGTGTATGAATATATATATATATATATATCGCCTGACCTTGGGTTGCTCGGGGCGTGTTAGATTTTGTTTTGGGATAATGTTAAAAAATTAAGTTTCAAAACTTTTGTATGCTTCCCCTCTGCTCCTCCCCCTTTGAGCAGATCCATTTAGGGCTGCTTTGATCTGTGCGGGGGGGAAAAATGGGGTGACCTTTCATATTAGCTGTCAGAGATAATGGCAGAAGTGAAGTGATTTTTGTTCCTTCAATCAGTAAAAACGTCCAAGACAAGCCTGATGATGTTTTTTCTTTGCCTTCCTTCCTTCCTTCCTTCCTTCCTTCCTTCCTTCCTTCCTTCCT